ACCCATCCACTTCATCTTCTCCAACCACCCCTACTCCATCACAACCCAATCCAACGCCAAACTACCCCACCCCTCAACCAAAACAAGATGAAACCACCATTAATCGTTGCATGTTGCCACACCCCAATCACCCACCATCAACACACAATTTCATTGTCCACTAACAAAACTTTGTAAATCAAGTACAAATTGTAATTTCATAATATTTTTGCAATAAAGAATTTCGATCTATAACCCACTGCTTCGCACACTTTCACTAGATCGGATATACCATTTTCCCTCTCTAACTCTCTGTAATAATATACTATTCAATTATAGTACCAATTTTTTTTTTTTTTTGAAAAGATTCGATCGAACTGTGCTGGAAAGATGCTGAAACTCCTGAAAGGTGTGGTGGGCACATCGGGTGAAGGCCTCAAAGATCTGCCATACAACACCGGCGAGCCTTACTCGTGTACCTGGGGCACCTAGGTTCACTGTCGACTATGAACCCTTAATTTAACTAGTCAAAATAAGTCAATTTTTTATTTTGTGGAATTTGTCCTCTAGGTGCATTCAAAATGAAAGGTTTGGGCCTCAACTGTCAAAATGAAAGGTTTGGATAATTTCTACGAAGATTTAAAAGGTTAAGGACTGCAGCTGCTATTCTCCCAAAAAATTATCGGTTATTTTACCCAACATTGTGGCTTTTCTCTATTTTTTGATATTCTTCAATACTATAATATCTCTAACGAATAATGTTGCTACACATAGAAATGGTCCATTTATCCTCTCATTTTCCCATGTATAGTTCACATAGAATTTTCTCGATTCAAAACAACATAAGATAGTAGGCTCATTAAAAAATGATTTAGTCTTCTCTAATTATAATTAAATTACGTGTAATGGTCTGAAACCACTCAATTTCAACCCAATGGGATTATTGTTTCGGTGGAATTATTGTTTGGTCGAGTCACGGCAATTATGTAAGTACCAAAATGCAACCGTCAACTTTGTGATTACTAGGATAACCATTAAATATCTCAGTGGAATGGAAGTCTTTTTGGCGTATGCAATAAGGAACAATAACATATTATCTTATTCAAATTTATTAATTAAACAACACTAAATTGCTAATGTCATTAATCATATTAATTAGCCATTGAAGTAGGTTTAGAATTGGGTATCAATCGTATTCATTTTTCTTGAACTTCAACTTAAAATGAATAAAAAAATAATTTTAATAAGTTAATTATGTATTGAAAAATAAACAGTTGACATCATTAGGTTGGTTTTCAACATCATACAAACACTTTTTTCTTTTATAATCGTGGATGTTCGGGCCAACTTGAGCGCAACTCGACTAATTCCACGGGACCCTGAAGTTTACGGTCGGGTACTCATCTCAGTGGCCCTGAAGGGATTCGAACTGGTGACCATTGAGGAGCAAACTCAAAGCCCGAACAATTGAACAACCCCTCAAGGTTAATATCATACAAATACAATGGTTGGAAGAAAAAAGTTCAGTTTTCATCTTCAAATTAATAAATTGTGTTGAATGAATCAAAATTTTAAAAACCAAGTAAAAAATTAATTTTTAATTTATATATTACTTTGAAACATAAAATTATTTTTTATTCATATTAAGTTGGGGTTATTAACTTTACATCCTATTACAATTTTAAAATATTCGGAGAATGCTGGGCAATTTTCTTGTTCTTCCATGGATGGTCTATCCCTTTTATACGTGGAACTTTATAAATATTGTTTTAAAAAAAAATAACTTTTTTAGAGAATGAAAATTAAAAAAATATAAAAATATTTGACCAATGTAGAATATTGATGAAAGAAAGAGAGAGAGAAATTAACTTTTTATATTTATAAAACAGTGAATTTAATGTTGTAAGAATACTTAAAAACTGATACATAAAATGTTAGCACAATGTAACATATAGAATTTGATTTATTATTTTCAGCTATTGGAATTTTGGTAAGTTAGCTATTTATAATGACATCCGTAAATCTTTCTATTCTTTTGGCAGCAGTTAAACGTAGTATATAACTTTTAGGGTACCAAAACATTAATATTTTCTTTGAAAACATGATAGGTTTCATTATTTCACGATTGTTTTGTTTAACCTTAATTCTTCAATATATTCATTATTCTTGGTTAATCGATGAATGCTTGATACCAAAATTCTTGGTGTCCACTTGTTCTTTTCCATGTTCCACAACCTAGAATAACGATCATCATTGTACTAAAAATTGTTTCTTGTTCAGTCTAAATCAAGTCATGGGCATGGCAATCATAAGTATGTCATTGAGACAAATTCTCTAGTAATTAAGATGACCCATTAAATTATTTGGTGCCTTGGGAAAGATGAATTGAAGAGTGGGTCGAGTTGGGGCCGGACGTGTATGGACCACCCCACACCCTTTTTGTATGTCCAGCTCCATTCTGCCCATGCTGGAAAACCAGACTCGGATCCTTACTGAATTATCAATCATGATACATGTGCATCATTTTTTACACTTTATCACGTGGCAACACATCATTACACAATTTTATTTTTTAACAGTTTCTCACTCAATCAACACTTATCAACAGTTGTGATGTCAACATTAATATCAACAAAAGAGTGTACACATTTTCCTTGAATTACTTTTTCAGGCTTAATCCAGTTTGTGAATGATGATTAGCATGACAAATGAACATGTGACCGACCAGTCCCACCACAAATCATTGAACATTGAAGCGACAAAGCCCCCATTATAATTCCAATATAATTCGATCCTTCTTCAAGTAAGTTCCTATTATATCTATAAATTATTTGACATACACATGATGGAATGAGTTCTTTATTAGCACACTAGGCATCCATGATGTCAATTGAACTATGTCAAATCAAATTAAACAATTTATTCTTATATTTTGGCACCAATCTTGGCCCCTTTCCCTTTTCCTAAATATAGGTGAATTCCCTTATACTCAAGGTATCTTCACAACCAAACCCAAATCCCCCCCACCCTTCTCTCTTATATTCATTCTTCTTGTTCCAACCATTAACTTAGATCATCAGAGTGCAAATGATCACTGTTGACCCCAAAAAACGAGCTCNATTCATTCTTCTTGTTCCAACCATTAACTTAGATCATAAATGATCACCAAGTCTTTTTTATTTTTTTGTCGAACAACAATCTTTGTATTCTAGTCGTGTGTTCCAATGTGCGGCGATGCATAAGTAGGGAAGGTGGACGGATTTGTTGGACACTTGAT